AGGCCATGGGGATACAGTAAAACCCCACCAGCATCTGCTACAGGGAGGATCAGAACCTAAACTGAGGTGATCTAGAGGCTGGTGGCTGGTGAGAGTGAAGGTGCAGGTTTTCTCTCATCTACTCTCTATTGTACTCAGCTTTTTCTTGTACTGTCTCTCATGTTTCTTCTTGTAAAGCTACAGGACTATGCCAGTTGTCGGGTTACAGTAATAGCTATGCTAATTGTCTGGTTAAAGCAATTCATAACTAAAGCTAAACAGACTGGGTCCCCAGACCCCTCACACACAAGTCCACTCTAGGTAATTGGGAAAGATCCTGGGAGCCATTGGCAGACGACACAAGCTCAGTCCTCAGCAGCAGAATCTTACCGCAGATCCAGCAGCAGTAGCAGCAGAAGCAGCTGCGGTGGTAGCCTTGGGGCATCCCGTGGGCACTGGCAGCAACAGCATCCAGCAGCAGTAGTGGCCTCCCCGTACCCCCCACCCCTGGGGGCATCCCAGGGATGGGGGCCCTGTGGATCAGAGCCACTCGTCCTTTATACTTAAGTCCATAACCCAGGACACCTGGGTGCTCATGCGCATCTACAGACAATAGCCCAGGAACACCTGGGCACATGTGCATATTCACATCAAATGCTTGGCAAGATTCTGAACATCTGTGGGGCCCTGACCATTTTCCTATATTTTCCCAACACTTCTTCCCTCTTTTTTCACTGCCACCTCCTTTCTCCTCCTATCTTAAGTAACAGTTCCATCTCTCTCTATGTGAGGCTCTTAGAATTTGGAGATAGAGAAGTTATTTAGTCTGACTACCCATCTGGTTCAGAGTCATTCCCATAGCATCACAAATGGTACATGAGACTTCCTGCAAAACCCTCCTCAGAAACGTGTCTCTAAAAACCACGCCTTCCATCAATGGACGGCTCTAACTGTTGGAGATTTCTTTCTCTGGGCTGAGATCTACTGATTCCCATAGCATCACAAATGGTACATGAGACTTCCTGCAAAACCCTCCTCAGAAACGTGTCTCTAAAAACCATGCCTTCCATCAATGGACGGCTCTAACTGTTGGAGATTTCTTTCTCTGGGCTGAGATCTACTNGGGTGCTCATGCGCATCTACAGACAATAGCCCAGGAACACCTGGGCACATGTGCATATTCACATCAAATGCTTGGCAAGATTCTGAACATCTGTGGGGCCCTGACCATTTTCCTATATTTTCCCAACACTTCTTCCCTCTTTTTTCACTGCCACCTCCTTTCTCCTCCTATCTTAAGTAACAGTTCCATCTCTCTCTATGTGAGGCTCTTAGAATTTGGAGATAGAGAAGTTATTTAGTCTGACTACCCATCTGGTTCAGAGTCTTTCCCATAGCATCACAAATGGTACATGAGACTTCCTGCAAAACCCTCCTCAGAAACGTGTCTCTAAAAACCATGCCTTCCATCAATGGACGGCTCTAACTGTTGGAGATTTCTTTCTCTGGGCTGAGATCTACTGCTGAGGTCTTCCCGTTGGTGCTGGCTTCATCTTTTGAACATAACAGAGCAGGTCTTTATTGTTTGGTTTAGGCACTTCATTTGCTGTAGGCTTATGTTAGGCTTTATAAAATAATAAGAAAATATGGGCCCATCCTCCAGGAGGCCACAGTATGGATAAGGCATATAGACAGGTCATTGCAAGCATTGTGGGACGGCCAGCCATTGATGTGGTGGGGTGTGTGTGTGGAGAGAGAATAGAGGAAATTAGGATGGCTGGAGCAGCATTCTTCATTCCTGTAGTGGGAGGTGGCATTACCCTTGAGGAGGGACAGGCACTGGAAATGGGTAGGGTGGATACCAATAATGTGTACCTCAGAGCAGGGGGGGAAGGAAGCTCAGATATGACCTCTGGTGATGGTTAGTGAGAGATGAGATTGTTTTCCAGTCTTCTCTTCTCCACCTGGGCCATCTCAGGTCTCTATTGTTTTTTCATGTGAACTGTCTTCCAACCCTTCTCTACTGCCATTTACCGACCTCATGCACCTGGTTCTGCAGGGTGGCGTTAACCCGTGATTCCTACAGCAGAGTCTGGATGCAGTTTATCCAGTGCAGAGTGTAGTGCCTTCCTCGGGCATTCACTAATGTTGCGTGTGTGCCTTCTATGCGTTGTTAATTCCTGCTGTCTGCCTGGGTTGAGCCGAGGGCAGCCTCCAATTCTCAGGGCATTTTTTTTTTTTTATGTGAATGTATCTATTCTTGGCATATCAACCACATATTGAATTGTATCCCATGGTGAGTTCTGTAATAAACTGAAGCATCATCATTTCAAAAGCAAAAAATTTTGTAATATGTCGTTTCTACCTTTTTATAGCATCCAGTATATCCTGCTATAGTTATTTATGCACATGTATCACTCAAGATGTAGGCCACAAAAAGAACTGTGACTCAGGCAATTTGTAGACTTTTTGAAATGTTTTTGTTGTAGCCACTAAAAAGTGAAATGAAAGGAAAACTGCCATTAGGCAAGATGCAAATCAAGCCTCACAAAATGTAGGCACTGCCAGCGACTTTAGAGGTCACTTGTTCTGCCCTATTCTTAAGCTTTATGGGAGTCATGATGTTTTTCAAGGATGGACATCTGTGATGGTCCTTGACTTTTTACCTTTGGCCTTGGAGAGTAATGTACAGTTCCATATGATTCATGATCTCATCTACTCATTTTTCTATTCAGTTGATACTAACATGTTTAATGCTGATACTAATTATATGATTAGGGATCTTTTCCAGGGAATTGAAAAACTTCCGTAAGACTGTTTCTACTAGATCTAAAAATGATCCACACACCTGGATTATGGGACAAGCAACAGAAACCTTTCATTTATAGGACATAGAAAATTAGAATGTTTATTTTGATCAATCTGCCTCATTAGCCATGTTTTCCCCTTGCCTCATCTTGAGAGTGCTTTCCTTCAGCCAGCATGCCTTCCTAAGAATTTATATGTCTCCATTTTATCTTTCCCTTCAGGCGTTCTTTGGTAGTCTCTGTGCAGGACTGGCTGTAGGCAGACTTGAATCACAGCAAATACAGACTGACCGAGTTGCCTCTGGCTGTCTCCCTTTGGTGTTTCCCATTTCTCTAGCTTCTGCTTTATTACTGCATGGCTCTGATTTCAACTCCCTGATAACCCCACATTCCAGCAGTTTCCAAACCCGCACCGTTGCCCACCTGTCTGCCCATCCCACATCCATCCATCCATCTGGCGCTCATGTCTCATAAAGGGGTATGTGGAATTGTTCCCTGTGCACTTGTCATGCATTCTGAGGAAGTGATTCCTGGGCAGGTTATTTCAGGTTTTGTGGTTGTGATTCTAAGATAGAGAAACCTCCCTTCTCTTCCTTCCCTGTATTTCCTTCTCTCTTAGGAATCTCGAATAGCATGCATTCAAGAGATCACTCCTTTGTGCTTCACTGTGATATCGAAGCTTTTCTTACCCCTCAGGCTAATGCCAAGTTTAGCCTTGTGAAGTTAGTTGTTGCTCTGTCTGTGGCTGACACATTCCTTCTTCAGTGCATTTGAACAGCTTTGAACCCATTCTGTTTGTTCTCCAAGCTGCGGCACGCATTTGCAGTGTGAGTGTAGTCCAGCCTGTCCTGGCGTGACAGCCTGGGGCCCACCGCTGCCTTCCAGCAGTGGCAGACAGGATCCCACGGGGCAATGTGGCCCCACATTTGGCTTGGTTCCTCCATTGTTTTAAGAGATTTTAGATTAGAGACAGCCTTGAAAAATCTGGTTTCATGTAAAAAGTAATCTAGATTTCCAGTCTCTCTCTAAACCATCAGAAGATGTGACTCTTCTCTGGTAATGTGGTCTTCGGGGGAGCCGGACCTGTGCTCTGTCCCTCCAGCTCCACAGGACTGCTTCTCTCATGCACACTTGACTGGTCTCTGTGAGCACTGGAGTTTCACCCCCTGGAAGATTCCAGACTTCTTGTGGGCATTCAGGGCCCTCTAGGACTCAGCTCTTGCTCCCTTTACTGGTTTGATTTCTACCTCCCTGCTTCCTTGGGAAGTTGTAGCCACACTGGACGCTTAGCCCATGATTTACTCCTTGTCTTTGCCATCCTTTCTTAGACTGAAACACCCACTCCTTTGCCCCCATGCCCCTTGTCTGTTACCTGTTCCCCATATCCCCCAATCATTGCTTTGCTAATGCCTTTTAAAAAAATATTTAACTGAAGGGTTCCCTCCCCATAAAGCCTTTCTGACTTCTCGAGAACCTACCCTCCCTTCACATAATCATCTCAAACCCCTTCTCTTTGGATTTGGTGCACAGCAGCCTGCTCTTGACTGCACCTGTTTGTCTGCATGTCTGTCTGTCCCACTGGACTGCAGGGCCCTCGGAGGGCAGGGACTGGGCCTTGTTACTCTTTATATCCACCATTCCTGGCACGTAGAAAGTACCCAATGAGTGTAAGTTGAATGGTGAATGGTTTCTCTGTTAGACTGTACATCTTGGAGACTTTATCTTCTCTGCAGTGTTGTTTATTAATGGTTCTGATGTCTGATAGGCTTCATGAAAACAAGACAAGAGGAAGTCTGCTTCACCCAGCAGTGTATTCCCGCTGCCCAGATGGTGGCCTGTGGCAGGGGTGCGATGAATATGTACTGAATTGAGTGAAAGATGGAAGAGCCAGAGATGGTGCCTCCAGTGACACAAAGAGATCTGTGTGCTTTACTATCCTGTAAAAGAGTTGTGTTTGTGCTCCAACTCTATCATTGATATAAAAGGATGTCTTATGGGCCGGCCCGGTGGCACACTGGAGAATGCGCCGCTTGGGAGCATGGCGGCACTCCTGCCGAGGGTTCAGATCCCATGTGGAGACCGGTTCCCGCTCACTGGCTGAGCGCGGTGTGGGCGCAACACCGAGGGTTGCGATCCCATTACCGGTCAGTAAAAAAGACAAAAAGGAAAAAAAAAAAAAAGGATGTCTTATACATCTTGGTATTTGCTCCTTAGGTAATGAGTCTGACCTTGAACTGGAAACAAAATATAAGGAAGATGACCGAGAAAAGGCCCCGAAAAGACCACGGACACAGAAAACAGAGAAAGTCCAGAAGCTCACTTCAGGAAAGGAGGCGGGACGGCTCTCTGGAGTGAAGAAACCCATCATAAGTGTGGTTTTAACTGCACATGAAGCTATACCAGGTGACCACAATGGCAGGAAATGAAAAAATGAGAAACTTTTGGTATCAAGGGCAGCCTGATGTAATGATGTGAGTCAGAATACAGGCTTGAGCTCTGTGATCTTGGTAGCTCATTTGCTGTGGGGCTGTGCATTTAGTCACCCATTCATTTGGGACAATGACAGACCCACGTACTGCCCAGGACTGTTGTGGATGATGTGTACAGAAAAGGTAGTGAGGGCTGCTGCTGCCGCCGCCTCTATCTCTACCAGCACGGGCTGCCCTCGCTGCCCCAGGAACCCCTCCCCCAGCCCCTGTGGGGTGTGCCCCTCCCCCACTGTTCTCAGCAATTGTCGTCCTACTGGTGAAGGCGACCCACTCAGCCCAGACTGACGCAGGCTGCTTCTCCAAAACCCACGCTAACTCTGCCTAACTTCTTTTTTGCGTTTTTAGTGGGATTCACCAACTATTTTATATACTTTCTTCATACGAAATAGCTGGTGGATATGTTATACTATCTTTTTAACAAAGGTCTCTTCCAGGGTGGGACACTTTAGGAGAAAAACAGTTTATGGTAGTAGATTTCAAAGTATAATTTTTTTTTTCTATCTGCTTGGGCGATAGCTGTCAAATAAAATTAAAAAATAAAGGTTAGAATTTTAAGAACAGCTACAGCCTTTTAAGTGTCTATTTTTGATGCTAATAGTAATTCATTATTTAAAATGAAAACTGAATAAATTCCTCTCTTATACTTCACTGCAGAGTAAGATGGTCAATAGAGAATAGACCATGTAAAATTATGAGACTAAAGAACTTTCCGGAAAGTCACTTTATCTGTCCCACTCCACTTCAGAACAGTATTATTCTAGAAAATGAAAATCCCAAAAGAGAATTTCCTATACTTGGTGGTTTCTAGAGAAAGTTTCCACAATTTTTCTCAGAAATTAGTGGTAGTATTATGAGATTGAAAAGCGTAATTAATTCCTTTTGCTATTCCAGAAACAAGTAGATTAGAGCCTTTTCTTAATGCACTTGATACAGACACATATACATACATATGAAGTGTATGCTACTGTAAAAGATCTTTGATTATTTCACATTATAGAATTGCAGAAATAAAGATGACCCTCGAGATTTTCCACTTCAAACCCTTCATTTCATAGGGGGGAAATAGAGACCCAGAGATGTTAAGGTAATGTATTTGGGACTGGACCCCAGGTAGCTTAAATTCCCATTTACAGTCTGTTTCGTTATTGTTACTATCTCGATGCAGCTTTAAATTTACATAAAGTTTAACACACATAGAGTCCTATATAAAACCTTGAAAATAACATATATATGCATGTGTGTGTGTGTGTATGTTTTAGTAAGCAGATTAAGTGAAAATGTACCTCAAGAGGACATTTAGGCCGGCCTGGTGGCGCACTGCTACAGTGCGCCGCTTGGGAGCGCAGTGGTGCTCCCACCAAGGGTTCGGATCCCACATACAGACCGGTTCCCGCTCACTGGCTGAGCGAGGTGCGGGCGCGACACCGAGGGTTGCGATCCCGTTGCCGGTCCTGGTCCGGTACGGGTGCGACACTGAGGGTTGCGATCCGTTGCCGGACACGAAAAAAGACAAAAAAAAAAAGAGGACATTTAGACAGATTATTAGAAAATTTGCTCCTTCCCCTCTTGAACACACACGCACACACGCACGCACACACACACTCACTCACTGACATACAGAAAGAGGTTAAATGTGTGAACTGAAGGAAAACCAGTACTTTGCATGGGTGTCCTGCAAGTAAAAGTAAAGAAACATACTTTCAAGCACTGCTCCCTCTGCTCACATGGGGTCCCTGCCACTCTGGGGGGGGGGTCTCAATAAGCAATGTGTTGTGCATCAATCTCAGGTGCTACCAAGATTGTTCCAGTGGAGGCTGGGCCCCCTGAAACTGGAGCTGCAAATCCTGAGACCACCGCGGCAGACCTCGTGCCTCGGAGAGGGTACCAGGAATATGCCATTCAGCAGACACCATATGAGCAACCGATGAAGTCAAGCAGGTAAAGCATTTTGTTCTGTGTAACTCCAGCCAGAGCCTGAACAGAGTGACCTCCAGAGAGCAAGGAGAGTCACCATGTTTGTTTATCTGGATTCTGTTTACAAACTTATTTGTAGAGGATACTGACTTCTTGATTTAATGGAAGAATTATCCCCTTCATTACAGCCCTACTTTATTTCCCCTCACTTTCAAAAGTTACACAAACATGTTGTAGAAGGTGCAAATATTCCATATGATGTAGAGTTAAAGTAACCCTCTTTCTAGAGGTAACTACTGTTGATAGTTTGGTTCATAAGTCTCCATAATTTTTTCATAATATACTAACATACATTGCTTTAATTGTTGTTTTTTCAAACACAAATACCAAATGTACTGTTTTCAACTTTTTTTTTTTTTTTTAACTTACTACATCTTGAAAAATCTTTCATTTTTAAGTCCGTATTTAAAAAATTGTTTGTGGTCATGTAATAGTTTAGATGGCCAATTTTTGCTGTGATGGACAATGTAGTGATCAGCACTGTCAGGCTAGGGCTCAGACCCTTCAAACCTGTAATACAGACTGAGTCACAGACACCTCGCATGCCCGGCCTGGTCAACCAGACCCCTCCTGTGCTGGCTGGGTCACTAGACCCCTCACATACAGGTCACGAGCTAGGTAATTGGGAAAAGATCCCAGGAGCCGTCAGCAAGGTTGATGTGCTTCATTCTGATGCGAGCTCAGTCCTCAGCTTCCTCAGCAGTAGCAGCAGCTCATAGCAGCCTCTAGCAGCAGTGGCTGTGGCCTCCCAGAGTTTCCTGAGTGCCCTGGCAGCATCTGCTTGTAGCAACAGCCTCCTTGTGGCCCCTCTGGGGCCATCTCAGTGGTGGGGGGCCCTATGGATCAGAGCCATTCGTCCTTTATACTCAAATCTGATAACCCAGGAACACCTGGGTGCCCATGCACATCTACATCAGACAATAGCCAAGGAACACCTGGGCGCACATGCACAGATAACATTTATGTCAAACGGGCTAGGTCATGCCCAGCAAGATTCCAAACATCTGAGGGATCCTGACCATTTATTTCATTTTCCTCACAAGCATTTTGCTGCATATATCTTTCTATACTTTTTCAAGATTTCCTATGGGACAAATTGCTAGAATTGAAATTACTGCATCAAAGGATATTAGTGCTTAAAGCTTTAATCGACATTAAAAACTGTCCTCCAGGGCCGGCCCGGTGGTGCACTGGATAGTGCGCCGCTTGGGAAGCGCGGCGGCGCTCCCGTCCGAGGGTTCGGATCCCACATACAGACCGGCTCCTGCTCACTGGCTGAGCGAGGCGCGGGAGCAACACTGAGGCTTGCAATCCCATTATCCCATTGCCGGTCCCCGGTCC